CATTTCAAACCAAAGCTAAAGCTACAACCCAGAAACCCAAAAGGCCTTCAGCGCAGAACACAATCCTTTTCCTTCGTACTTTACTTTAAACAGGACATCAGTGTTCAGGGCTTATAGTCTGTTAAGTGGTCTTTCGGGGTGCTGAATTATTTCTGTCTTTGTTGGAACGTCCACCCTAAACCTGAATCCAAAGTCTTGCGCCACTGCATCTTTCTCAGGGCCGCACGCAGACAGCGAGAATGGTCACGAGCACCGCCACCAGCGAGAGGTCTACGTGCATTTGGCCGACCTTGTATTTACAGGCTGGGAGACATCTCAAACACCAACGCCGCAAACCTCAAAACCCTAAACGGCGTAAGCCCGAATCCTCTGAGCCACAAGTTTCTGGTCTTGGCACCATACCCTGAATATCCCCACACTGTTGGGACACCCTGAACTACAACCCTAAACTTCAATGGCTGCAAAGTTCTCCCGCCTCCGGTGCTGGAGGGGGAGGGACCAGGCCATAGTCGATGTAGCCTAAGAGATTGTCAAGTATAGGGGCCTTAATGATTAGAGTAGGGTCTTGGGGTAGATTATACAATAATTACAGTAAGGACCCCCCCCCCCCCAAAAAAAAATAGTATAGTATAATTATAATAAGGAACCCCCAAAATAGTATAGCATAATGATAATTAATAAGGAACCCCCAAAACAGTATAGTATAATTCCAACAGGGAACCCCCCCACAAAAAAAAATATATATATATATATATACATATATATTTACATATAGTATAGGTAATTCGTTCGGCTTCTATATTAGGGTTCCTTGCAAGGAGACCGCGTAGGGCTCCTTCCAGGGTCCAAGGGGGTTCCTTCACGGGTCTGCCATGGGTCTGTGTAGGGTTTAGGTTTTAGGGTTGGGGGTTTAGGGTTTAGGGTTTAGGGTTGGGGGGGGTTCCTTAACGGGTTCTGCCATGGGCCTGTGTAGAGGAGGTGGGGACGCTTTTTAAGCTTTGGAAATGCTTCTTATAGACTTCTCATCTCCGGAGTATAGGTATTATGTGCATACCATTGTATAGCTGCAGTCACCCTGAACTGCAGCTTTTGGGATTGCTTGCGTAACAGGTTTCGGGTTCCGGAGTTAAGGCGGTTGGCATCTTAGGGCTTCGGACTTAATTGCTTTAGATTCTGTGGTTGAGGATTTTCAGGTGTAGGTCATTTACAGTTCATGGCTTTAGGGTTTGGATTGAGCTCGAAGTGTGCACGGCTAAGGGTGCGCTGCGCATGGGACTCGGATTCTGTAGATTCGGATATCCTGACCCTGCAATCATAAGGTTGGGTTTAGGGTGTAAGGTTTAGGGTTTAGGGTTTAGGTCCAGTTGTTCTTGGGCCTCGCAGATTTTGTCAAATCTGGTGATACTAGATACTGAAGCCTCTACCCTACATCCGAAACCCTAGACCGGCCCTTCAGATCCTAAACCACAGATTCGAGGTCCTGAATATCCCCTGTCCACTCAACCCAAACTCCCAAACCAAAAATCTCCAACCTATACCGTAAATCTTAACTCAGTGTAGTTGATCTCGTTACTGCTTTGGGAGTGCAGAGTGGCAAGCAGAAGCAAAAGCAAGCAACTCGTCCGAAATGAGGAGGTGGCTATCTGTGGGGGCTTTTCGAATCTCCCTACAGAAGCCCCGCCGTCGACCGCTCTCCAGAGCCCTAAAGGGCCCGATTCTATGTTTCAGGATCTCTGGTCTAGAGTCAAATCACTAAAGACCACACGTCAAAAGGGTTCAGGGTTCAGGGTTTAGGGTCCCCAAGCCATCTGCCTTGATCCCTGGAAGCCCTAAACCTCAACTCCCTCCACCGTAATCTGGATCATCCTTAACCCTGGAACCCTCAACCCCAAACATTCCCTTGAAAGCCAGAAACTCGGCCCGTTGTGACTCAAGGCACCGAAGCCATAGTTCCTTTGATCTCGGGTTTGGGTTTAAGGCCTAGGGCTCAGCGCAAGCAGCCCTGCACCCCCAAGCAGTCAAAGTCAACTCAAAGCGCTCAAACCTGCATCAATCTGCAAAGCCCGCGGCCGCAACTCTGAACTCTGAAACCGCAGCCCTACAAGCAAAAAAACCCTAAACACCCAGCGTGTACCCTACACCCCTTTCAATCCATGTGAACACGTAGCAGGCAAAGGCACTGCTTGAGGGTGGGTAGGTGGTGCTTCCCCAGCTTGAGTAGGTCACAGCCTCGTAGCCTCTGGCTCTTCGGCTCTTACTTACCAAGATGAGTTGCGGGTTTAGGCAGGGGGTTGAACTACATACCTACAGGTAATTCTCAAAATCATCTTGGATTTAGGGTTTATGGGGCTTAGTAGAGAACCAAGTCCATAAAAAGTGCCTCCCCGTCATCTTCTCAATCTTGAAAGGGCTACAAACTAAGCACCAGTGAATTGCGACGTACATTGCCCTAAACCCTAAACCCTAAACCCTAAACCCTAAACCTTAACCGCTGCTTTGGTTTGGAGTTCGGGGTTTAGAGTCCAGGAGTCTAGTGGAGTTTTAGGGTTTAGGGTTTACGGGTTTAGAGTTTAGGGGTTTAGGGGTTTAGGGGTTTAGGGTTTAGGGGTTTAGGGGTTTAGGGGTTTAGGGGTTTAGGGTTTAGGGTTTTAGTGTTTAGGAGTCCAGGGCTTAAGGTCTAGAGTGGAGCTCTTAAAGCCTGGGAAGTCGCAAACAGGATCCTGCCATGGGTTTAGGGTTTAGGGTTTAGGCCCTAAACCCTAAACCCTGGCGACGTGGTTCTGATTTCTCAGAGTTAGCGGCTCCCTCATAGCTTTGAGCCCTGAACCGTTCCGACTAAACCACAAGCCAAAACCCTAACCCCCCAAAAAACCTCACCAACTGTACACCAATACAGTCCTTGTTGATTTGCTATGAAAGTTTCTTATATACATCCAGTCCTTGTAGAGACCTTGTAAGCCCTGTGCATAGTTGTTTGCTTTACGAAACACATCTATAAGCTTTATGAAGCCATGCAGATTAAAAATCTCCCATCGTTTCGGAATCCGCATAGAACCGACAGGAGTATGATGCTGCGAATAACAACTCACTGCAGCAGCCCCCAAAGTCGGAATGGAGAAGCAGCTCTCCTATATACTTGATCTCACAGGATGCTTGAAGGGGCATCCGACACGGCAGCAAGCGGCTCCAAAGGGACACTTGATACCTGACGCAGATTTGGTGTCAGGTGCGACAGACCGGACTGTGAATGCGCGCACCCTGGCCAACATGACAGGGGTGCGGGAATCGACAGTCCGGTCTGTGGCACCTGATACCAAATCTGCAAGGTATCGAGTCGACCCCGTCTGGCGAATGGCCCAAAGAATACGACAGCTTGACTTTTCTGCAGAACCTGAACAAATCCTCTAGCCAACTCTTTAACGGATCCTGATGTGGGTGAACAAGAAGCATTCCAGGCCACGCACGTGCTGTTGAACTGCGAACTGCTACGAGCGAGAAGAAAGGAAGGCCTCAAACTCAATTATATCGTGCTCCACATAGCTTAAACCAATCTTGTCGAGGTAAGCTACCTCTGCAGTCTGCGAAGCGCCGAGGCCACTATTCTTTCGGGTTTCTTGCCTCGCCCTCTCGTTGGCGAGCAGCTCCCAACGCATTTTGCCGCTGCCCTTGCTGTCCTCAAAGTAGAACACGTGGAGCGTTTGGTGCAACTCGGCCGCCCGGTCCACGTTCTGCTTCATTGACACCCCCAGGGGGCCCTGTATTGATTCTCGACGCAGCGGACTTCGGCATCTTGCAAAGCCTGGGCAAGTTTCCTTTCCCACTCTATATCTCACTGATGTTGCTTTATCAGCAGTCGCTGGCCCATTGCTTCGGCATCTGCTCTTTTGAAAGCAAGCGTCTGGTCATGGTTTTGGGACTCGTCGGCACTGATTTCCACCACACTGAGGTATGTAGAGGCGGGTACCGGGCTATAGATTTGTCGGCACCAGCACTTGCCAGGGGTCTCTGGGCAGTTTGCATGTCGGCCTAAGCGAAACGGTGTCTGTCAAGAAGACACTAGCAAGCGAGAAGGTGTCCTTGTGAGTAAGGCCTGACACTGCCGTCTGACACTGCCGTCTGCCCCGCTTGCAAAATTATGATCAAGTCGTCGAGTTTCACCTTTTGCAGGCGGTCGCTTTTATTGCAAATGGTTATGCGCATAACCATTTGCAATAAAAGCGACCACCTGCAGAAGGTGAAACTCGACGACTTGATCAAAAGTTTGCAAGCGGGACAGAAAACTGCCTGGTCCGAGGTCCCAAAGGTCACTGCACCTGCCCGGGAAGGATACAACGCAGTCCGCCGCACTCTGGTCGATGTACCCTAGGAAAGCAACGCGGGTGGAAGCCAAACCAACCTTGGGGACCAAATGACCCTTATAAGTAGGGGCCCTATAACCTTATACTATGAATCCCAATATAGTATATGAACCTGAAGACCTTTTGGGGATCATTTCGTCCTTAAGGAAACCCTGACAACTCTGCAAGCCTCTGCAAAGTCTCCAGATTCCCCGCCATGGTGCCCACCATGCCACTGAGCAACCCTGGACCCTAAACCCTAAAGAACAGGTTGAAGACTTGGAAAGACGCGTCAAGAGTCAGTGTGCGCGGGAGTACTCTCTCTGTGTCAGGTTCGCGAACCTGCCAAATAAACTCAAAGAAGGGCCAAGGGGGATCAGGCTAGTGTTTGCATACAGCAGGCACGCCGTGCACCACATGGGATCATGACCCCTTGCCTGCACCATAGCTCTGCTGCTGCACGGCACAGTGCCTCACACTGGAGCGCCAGAACTGCGATGCAGCCGCCACAAAAAGCCCGAAAGCTTGGAGCCCGCAGGGCTACGCCTGTGCGCAGGAAATTGCTCAGCAGTAACACAGCAAGAGAACCAACACCAAGACTTGTGAGAACGACACAACACCGGGCTGTCCGATGCCAGGCGAGAGCTCGTAAGTCGAGGATGGTCATGCGCACCTCCAAGACGTTGCATAGGGCCTCCCAGAGGCGATCAACAGGTGATCCACGCTGTCGTCGCACAGGGGTAGCGCCAGGCAACACATCGTGATGAAACTGAGCTGCAGCTGGTTGCTCCTGGAGAACCGGTCAAGCCTGTGGACAAACATGTAGAGCCCAAAGCTAGTCACGAGGGGCCGACAGATATCATCGCAAAACACATGCAAATCGACACATTTCTCTGAAGACCTCTCATAATAAATCTCCGTCTCAGTCTCAACAATCCGCTCCCGGATTGCTCTCTCCGTGAAGGGAAGGTTCACAGTGATACGTGCTAACGTGTAGAAGGCCAGCGCCACCTTTGCCCGCCAACGCCATCGGGGCTGCTGCTCCTCCAGATCCTCCAAATCCTGTCTCGTACCTGCCAGAGTGCCTCTTCTTCTCGAGGGGCGAGCGAAGGCCTCGTCACCTGAAGGTTGAACAAGCATCTGCGTGGCCTGCACATTGCCGCGTCTCAAAGCTAGCTCCACACCTTCCTTCCTCCAGGTGTGGGCGGAGGGCATGGCTTTGTTGCAGACAGAGGAGGTGTTAACCACCTCGAGGTTGTCATCTCGCTATAGGAAGGGCGATTGCGCTACTCGGACCATAGATATGAGGAGCCTTGGCACGAGTTGAAATGGCGTAAACTCCTCCAAAACTAGCATCTTGAACAGTACAAGTCGGCACTGCGGGTTAATGGCCTTGGCGGCACACTGAACTTCACACCGACACTGAAACTACAGTGGGCCAAGCCTCCAAGTAATCCTATAAAACCCCGTCAGACCGCATATTCCTAAACCCTAAACCGTGGATGGCATACAATCTTCACAGAATCCTTCGGAAACCTTGTAATCACCAGATGAGCTCCTTTTTAGAACCCCGAACTGACGATCCTTATAGAAGCGTAAAGCCCTTACAGCTCTGAACACCAGCAAAACAATCATCCCTAAGTCCTAAGACTACAAACACCCTTGCAGAACCCTAAAAGCACTTGAAACCCGAAACTCTCACTGATAAACACCCTCGACTCTCAACGAACCCTGAGAAATGCTTAAATTCTCGTTCAACCCGTACACATGCCCCAAAGTCTAGTCTAATAAAGGGGTCGAAGAATTTGTCTGAACTCATTGCATCAAAGGTCTCTTTGATGCTTAGATAGTACAAGATCCACCAAAACCCCGTTCTAGTTACTACGGTTTAGGGGTTTCAGGGTTTAGGTTTAGGAGCTAGCGACCCTAAGACCCTAAAGCCCTAAACCCTAAACCCCTAAACCCTATAAACCCCAAAGCCCTAAACCCTTAAACCCCGGTTTAGGGTTTAGGGTGCCTGTGCTCTCGGAGACCGATGGGGCCGGAGGGAGGGCGGCGCGGCTGAAGAGCAGAGGGAGGTGGAAGGCCTCCAGGCGATTCAATGTGGGGGCCTTCATACTTAGAATAGGTTTAGGGTTTAGGGTTTAGGGTTTAGGGTTTGGGGTTTAGGGTTTAGGGTTTAGGGTTTAGGGTTTAGGGCTTAGGGTTTAGGGTTTTGGGGGCTCCTTCTTGTAATTATAGCATGACATACCCCAAACCCTATTCTAAATATGAAAGCCCCTATATTAAGTGGGGGTTCATAAGGTTTGTTGAAGGGCAGAATAAGGATGCTCAAAGGGATTTAGGTTAGGGTTTAGGAACCCTAAACCCCAAACCCCACACCGGGGTTTCATATGGTTTTTATGATACCTTCTGATCAAAGGTTCTTTAGGGTTCAGGGCTTTGGAGTTCTGGGGGGTTTGACCAGGCTGGGCTTTTGCAGGGTGGCTTTGACAATAAGCATCTACGGCGGTTTTGATGACAGGCGCAGATTCTCAGAAAAAGAAATTAAAATATAATAACATGATGAGGGTTTAGGGTTTAGGGATATAATATAATTTGACTTAATATAATATGGTATACTGTAATAGAATATAATGTAATATAAAAACCTCCAGAGGATGATAGGGGCTTAGCTTTTCGCGCCTTAGGGTCGGCTTTACCCTGGTGGGAGACTTTCGTTTGTGGGTTATAAGTGAGGTTTAGGGTTTAGGGTTT